GATGGCCAGTCCTTCACCTTCACAGCATAAGGGATCTGAACCTGTAAGCCTTCTTCATTTCAGAGATGATGTGATGTGAGACCTTAGACAGGTTGGAGGAAAGGTGTCTCACATAAGCATTTCTTTCCCAACACACATAATAAGAACTTCCCAGAGTGGTTGGGACACTGGACACCTTAATTTTAGCCTTCTAAACATGGCTTTCGTGGATTAAACTGGGTGACTGTTTTACAGGTGAGAAAACAGAAAACTGGACTACACTCAAAGTCATAGGTCTTGTCCAGGGCTAGATTTCTTTATCTAGCAAATGCACGTTTTAGGCAAACAACTGTTACAGTTCTTATAGTTAACAAGAATAATTAAGAAACAGATGGCAAGCAGTCTGTTCATGTATGCAGATATTCTGATAGAGAAAGAACAAAACTGACATCATGAATTGAGGCTGGGACAATGGAGTGGGGAATGTGTTTGTTACTTTCAGGAAGTAGCATATTTTTTCTACTAAAGGGAGCTCACCCTCCAAGGCTCAGTACTCCATAAACTTGCTCCATCTTGTAATGTATCTATTTGCCCAACATAAAGATATTCTTGGTATTTGACTCTCTCATGCCCTTTCCCATCAATTAGACAACTGAGTCAGACTGTAAGGCTGAGCAGCCACTAATGGGATGAGACCCAGCCACTACCTTTGCTACAACTAAAACTTGGTGAACTTCCTGCTTTCGTGTGCTTGTTAGCCTGGTTTGGATCATGATGTACCTCTCATATTGCCAAAAGAAAATGCCTTGCCAAATTTATTTTGCTTTGTGTTCTCTTTGTGTGTCCTAAAATTATTTTTTCCCACACAATGTAAGACTAAGGACCTCAATTCAAATGTTCAGTTATACATAAAAAGGGTCAGGCATGATTACATATGTCTTTAACTCTAGTATTAGATTGGTAGAGGCAGGTGGATCCCTGAAGCTTACTGGCCAGGCACTGAAGCCAATTGGTGAGCACCAGGCTCAATGATAGCCTGTCTCAAAAGATAAATTGGGAGCAATGTTGACACCCTGGTGCTACATACATGTGCACATACACAAATACACACAGACAGACAGACACACACACACACACACAGATGTCGTGACTATATCAATCAGTACAAGTGCTATTAAGAGGTGGAAGAGTGGTGATTGCGGGACATTTTAACAGTTGAAGGAATAGTGACTGATACAAATGAGAGCTTGATATCAGTTCTCCATCTGCCACCACCCTGTTCTGTGATTTTAACTCTCCATTTCCTTCTCTAAAAATGCAACCAGTAACAAATACCTTATAGGGTTTGCAAAGTAAGAAATACTATGAGAAACAAGAGGGCCTTTTTATCATCGTCATGTCATGGCTAAATCTGCAGTTCCACTGGGATGTCACCATTCTGCTTTGGGGCTTTAGAGTTAGGTAGACAGATTACAGGGACCTGCTGCCTTCGTGGGTGCTTTCTTGTCTGTCCCTAGAATCTACAAATCATTTCAACTGAGCTCTCCATTTCTGCTGCTCCTGATGAAGTTCAATACCATTATTACCTCTCTACCTGGACTGGAACACAGTCTCTGCGTGACTTTGCTATGTCAGTTTTTTCTTTTTTTATTCTGTTCTCTGCATTGACTTCTCTCAAATGTAAATGTGAGAATGCCTATAAAAGCAACAGGCTTTAGCCCAAACTCCCAACCCAGCCAAAGCCTTTATGCTACAGCTCACAGCATGCAATACTGTCAAACAGAAGCCACCATAATACTGCTTTCTCCCTCTGCTTCTGCCTCTTCAATTGCCTGCTTTATCTTTTACCTGATGTTTTATTCTCACTGTAATTCTTTACTATATTCATTCTGTATTTTTTCATGTGCCTAGTTTTGTTAAAGGAGTGGATTTGTGAGGATAATGGTTCAAAGTCTCCAACCTAGAAGCTTTATATTTGAGGAGAAAAAAAAACAGAAAAGAAACAGTCTATGTAATTGCATAGAGTAACATCTGCTATTATGGAAAGATCACAGAAGATAAGATAGATCACAGAATTTTACTTAAGGGGTTACTCTGGGCCACCGTTAAATGAGAACATTTAAACATGCCAAGTAGAGACAAGGTATTCTAGGTGGTGGGAAAGCACACAGATAGAGGACCAATGGGGAAGTGAGGCTGGTACATGGTACTTGGTGAGGAGAGACTGGGGTGCTAAGTGCTTAGACCTGGAAACCCTGGATTCTCTGCTTCACCAGGGGTTGTTAAGTGGCAGCCTGTATATGGCTCAGTGTCTAACGGGCTCTGCCAAGCTCTTGTACTCTGGCTTGCATTTACATATACATAATGAACAATCAAGCACAGTTCTAGTTTTGGAGAAAGGCAGAAAGTGACTGCTTCATCCTCTGGATATAGGGAAAGGGGACAGACAGTCTTTGAAGTCTTAACCCTGAGAACACAGGGCTGCAGATGATGGGTAGACAGTCACAGAGGGGAAATGATAAAAAACAGAGTTTACACACGGCATTTGGGAGAAAACTCCAAACAGGCACTCAACCATCATTGCTGAGAAAAAACTCTGATTTGAGCAACGAGAAATGCTTGGGTAAATGGGGTGAATAGAAAGAGTGCTTCTCAGAGCCCAAGAGATTCGAGTGCTTTCTGGCTTCCCTTCTCTGTTGTCAGCAGAGAATTGTAGATACTGAGGAGTCTAGGAGGATACAGGGAAAAGCAGGAGTAAGTAGCAACTTCACCATGGTTCAGAAGGTGGTATTAGCACTGTGATCACTTACTCCATAAAAGGCAAGGAAGGTCTTCTGACCTTCCATAGGGAGTCTAAAAGACTTCTCAGGACACCTAAGACAGCTATAAAAGCCATGCCAGTCTCAGAGGAAAATTCTAGATTGAGTTACTCTCTTTCATTTAATTTATTTTCTTTAAAACAAAAAACCCTTTGTCAGCTCACATGTCTATCTATCTGGTCATTAGATGCTACGTCTTCTTCTCTGTCCCACCCACTAGTCCTTACCCTGTTCTCCAAACCAGTCCCGTGTCTGTGGCACCAGATACAACATCTGCCTGGAAAGTATCTCTATCTCCCTTATTCAACTACAGCTGAGTTTCTTGTCAGTTAGGTTTCAGTGTCAATTTTACCTCCTCATCTCCAGTTTGTGCTCACCAAAGAAAGAATCTGCCTGGCTTTTCACTAGTCATTGCTATGTAGCACTGGTTATTAGCTAATAATTTTCCTTACAGCTTGGGTAGTTGGTTATCAATGAGCTTGCTGTGTTTTCCTGTTATGAGACCCAAACTCTGAGGGAGGCACTACTGTCCCTTCCTTCTTCCCTTCCACTGTCTGTCTTGACAGATTCATTTATTTTCATTTTAAGTTTATAAGTGTTTGCCTGTATATATGTATGTATGCCACATGCCTATAGTGGCATAGAAGCCATAAGGGGGCATCAGATCCCTTGAAATTGGAGTTACAGTTGATGACGAGCTGCCGTGTGAGTGCTGGAATGGCATCCTTTGCTGGTGCAGTCACTATACTTAACCACGAGCCATATCCCCAGTCCCCCTTTCATCTGTCTCGGTGCTCAGAATGAGAAGAACACCCTCTGTACGTGTTTCTATACTGAATGACTGAAACAACTTTTTCTGTGTCTGATACTGAGAATCTTGGCAAAAAGAGAAAAAGTACCATGTATTTTCTTAGAATCTAATACACAGCAGATGCTGAGCATATATGCCATTTCTTGCCCATTTTGCAATGGAAGAATTAGAGATACAGAGACATAGGGTATCTTGTTTGAGGTCACATAGGTAGAAACGAGAAGTCTGAACAAAAATTCCAGAAAAGAAGCTGTACTTGCAGACCGATTGACTGAGGAGAGTTTTAGGACTCCGGAGAGCCAGGAATGTTGCATGCCTTTGAGGCTAGCTCTGACTCTCCAGGACAGCCATTCCTTGTCTACCTCTGTGAACGAACATCTTGTGACTAATAGATTAAAACCTTTTACAATCTATTAACTTAGCAGTACATTAGCTTCCATTATCCTAAAAGATAAGAGAGCATCTTCGTATAGAAAAGCTTCCCCCATCTTGCAATACCTGTCTCCCTGATGTACCCACCAATGTATTTTAAACTGGTCTTGATTTATTATTATTTTTGTCCTGTAAATTTATAAAACTTCATAAAATTTATGAAACTTCATAAAAATTCCACATTGGAACATGTAATTTGGGGTGACTCAAACTTGTGTTCCTAGGCCAACTAAAATTGCCTCAAGAAACTTTTTTTCTCTTTAAGATGAGACCTGTGTTTTTGGTGTCAACAAAGGTAATGGTTAGAGTTAAACTCAGTTCATCTTGATTCTGTTTCTGTTGCTTTTGACTACCATGTTCTTTTTTTATATTCTTAAGAGTTCAGTGTTAGTCACAGTTGGCATCATTGCTTGCTGTTACCATGGGCAATTTGTTTAATTTCTCTACTTGAACTTTTTCAATAGTAAATGTTCAAAGAAGAAAAATGAGTTACCGCATATGAAAGAATAGGAAATAGCAATAACAACAAAAGCACCCAATATCTTCAGCTATTCCTGTAACTCTTCACTCAACACTTTCCTTGCCCAAACCAACTGGGAAAAAGCCAGTACCTATTGATGTCTCCCTCTGTGTCACCCTAGGCTCCCGCCAATGAATTCTGTGCCTTCATCACCACAAGCTTGCGAATTTCCTGGCCATGAAGCAGACAATGAAAACCTGATAGCTTGATCTGTCTGAAAACTCTTTCTGACCCATTCAACTGAGCCAATTCCTCCTGCCAAGTCCACAGGAAGTGACCAGATGATCTGACCATTGCCACGTTGAGCCATGGAATCTATGGCAGGTAAAGGGTCTTGTTCCTCAATGTATAGTCCTGAGCTGACCCAAAACCCAACAAGGACCCAAAACAGATAATGGAGAATGTGGCCAATCTCTCCTATTATCTGTTGAACACTCACATTTTCACTGTTGACATCAGTTTCGCTGGGGCAGCCAAACAGTTCCCTCCTCAGGAGGTTGCCATCATACTCAAGAAAGGTCAGGTAGAGGTTGCGGAAGAATTCCACATGTTTGTTTTTCACACGGAGCTTCTTGGGGGAGTTCCAGTGGATGACCTAAAGGGAAGCAAAGAAGCTGTCAGAGGGCCACACAACACAGTTCTCTATGGCTTTGGACTAGATGAGCTATGATCTATAGATCTGCAGGTCATTCACTCACCTATTGATTCTAAATTGTGAGAGGAGTGGTGGGGAACCAGTGCAGGTGAAGGATCAAATCTTGCCCCTGTTCTAAGTTGTTATTTAATCATGGGGAAGTTCCCTTATTTTCTGTGTCACAGGAGCATACATGGTTCCTGTGTGTAGAGGCTGGGACTCTTCAATCAAAAACTGTTGGGTGACGCAGACAGTTCAGGACACCTGATACTGAGGAGGAGAAGGCATAGCTGTTCCCTGGAGGTTCCTGGTACTGAGAACATCATGTAGCTCTTCCACCACCATTGGCATTACCTTCCTTTCAGAAATCCATGTCACAAATTTCCCAGTACTTAGAATAAGTTCCAAGGTCCCTGCTTCTCTGTCCAGAACAGCTGCCTGACATTGCTAACCTCTTGGGTGTGAATCTGAATTTTCTCCATGTCTTTTCTCTCGCTACTCTTTAAGCACCACACTGTTAACTGCCCCCTACAATTTCTGATTTATGTTTTATTTCAGGGCCAAATCTATACTTTATGTCTGGTTATTAGTTCTAAACATTAAATTCCCTGTTTAAATAATTGCTGAGATCTCAGTCTTCAGCCAAGACTGAGTGACAACCTCATAGAACTACTATGAAAAGTAAACACATTAGAATGCAAATCTGGCATTTGGTAAGCACTCACAAAGATGTTGGCTCCCTTAGCATCTGTAGTCTGCCAGATTGAGATATGTCCTAAGGAACAAGACCTGGGGAACTGTCCATAGACTATGCAAAGCCCACAAATAGGTAGATAGAAGGCACAGTGCAGAAAAAAGCATTGGAGATAGAAGGCATAGTGCAGAAAAAAGCATTGGAGATAGCTCTGAAATACGCCACAGAAGCATGATAGAAGATGCCTGTTTTGGAGTTCAGAGGAGAGGAACATGGTTCCTAGAAGACATGAGCTAAAGTAAGACATGTGAGGAAGATCACGCTGAAGGGGCATAGAAGATCCAGTTTTGTAGTAAGAGGTTTCTGTTCCACCTGGTCCCGCAATAAACACAAAGAAACCAAATTATTTGCAATACTGTTTGGCCAAAGCTTAAGTGTATCTCTGGCTAACTCTTAACTCAAATTAACCCATCTCCATTAATCAGTGTATTGCCACGAAGCTGTGGCTTACCAGGTAAAGTTCTAGCATGTGTCTCTGGAGGGGCTACATGGCTTCTCCCTGCCTCTGCCTCCTATCTCCCAGGATTCAGTTTAGTTTTCCCAGCCTAGATAAGTTCTGTCTTGCTATAGGCCAAGACAGTTTTGTTTATTCATTAACCAATAAAAGCAACACAAAGAGAGAAGGACCTCCCACACCACAGCTAGGCTGACCTCCTATACCTGAAAAGTCAAAATCTGGAACGCAGAAAGACCTGAACACTATAGTTCCCTGAGAGAGAGAGAAATAACAGACTAGGTTTTAGGGCCTTCATTGTGTGTAAATATGTGTCTGGTAAGGTGAACAGACCAAAATCAAAGCTAGGGACAATGTTGTGATATCCTGGTGGGAAAATGAGGCATTGGGTATACATTTTTTGACTTGATTGCAAAGAGAAAATATGAAAGAGGAAAACTAAGAAAAGTAAGTGAATATTTAAAGTATAATAAGCACCAAAATTATTCTAAATACCTTATTATTAATATTTATTGGTAGGTGCTGAGGAGTTCCATCCAAAGGGTGAGTGTATACCATCCCCAGGGCAGACTGCTCCGGAAGGGAGCATTGGGCTCCCCCAGCTCCTGCTGCAGGGGCTTCTTTGTTACACACAACCCTGCCTCACCCAAGCCTGCCCTATTGTCTGCAAGGTCCTTGGCCCAGGAACAGTTCCTGTTCCTGCACTAAAGCTATCCACCCAGAGGGGTGAATGTCTGCTGGCTAGGCAGGCCGGAAGGTTCCTGCAAGGGAGTGCAGGGCACTTTCAGATTCTGCTGCGGGGACTTCTGTGTTCCATTCGACCCTGTCCTCCCCCAAAGTTCACCCTTTTGTCTGCGGGGTCCTCGGACTACCAGGAGTCCCTGTTTCTGTGCTGAGGAGTTCCATACAGATGGGAATAGTTCCTGCTCTTGCACTGAGGAGATCCACCAAAGAGATAGTCATAGTAAAGATTGGACCAAGACACCAAGACTCTCCTGGCTGCATTTGAAGGAAGAGATGGGCAGGCGCCAATGCAAGAATTCCTCCAACAACCTGAAAGGCAGCATGTCATTACCAGAATCCAGGAATCATGCAACAAAAAGAATTGAACACCCTACCCCAGAAGAAAAAGAAGAAATCGACTTTAAACAGAACATTATGAAAATAATAGAGGACCTTAAACAGGAGGTAAAAAACTGCCATAAAGAAATGGAGATGACAAACAAAAAGGTAGAGGAAATGAATAAATCTATCAAAGATACCCAAGAAAACCAAGAAAAAGCAATCAAACAGGTAATGGAAACAGTTCAAGACTTGAAAAATGAAATGGAGGTAATGAAGAAAACACAAACCGATGGAAGGCTGAATATGGAAAATCTGGGTAAATGAACAGGAACTACAGAGACAAGTATTACCAAAAGAATGCCAACAGAGGTAGAAGAAAGTATCTTAGACACTGAAGATACTATAGAGGAAATAAACTCATTGATTAAAGAACAAAACAAATCAAATAAATTCTTAACACAAAACATCCAGGAAATCTGGGACACCATGAAAAGACCAAACCTAAGAATAATAGGGGTAGAAGAAGGAGAAGAATTACAGCTCAAAGGCCCAGAAAACATATTCAACAAAATTATAGAAGAAAACTTTCCCAACCTAAAGAATGATATTCCTATGAAGGTACAAGAAGCATACAGAACACCAAATAGACTGGATCAAAAAAAAAAAGCATCCCCTCACCATATAATAAGCAAAACACAAAACATACAAAATAAAGAATGAATATTAAGAGCTGCAAGGGAAAAAGGTCAAGTAACTTATAAAGGGAAACCTATCAGAATTACACTTGACTTCTCAATGGAAACCATGAAAGCCAGAAGGTCTTGGATAGATGTGCTGCAGAAACTAAGAGACCAAGGATGCAAGCCCAGACTGCTATACCCAGCAAAGCTTGCATTCGCCATCAATGAAGAAAACAAGATATTCCAGGACAAAAACAGATTTAAACAATACGTAGCCACAAACCCATCCCTACAGAAAATACTAGAAGGAACACCACAAACCAAGGAATCCAACAACACCCATAATAAAACAAGCATCTGACAAACCTCCACCAGCACAACTCAAAGAAGGGAAACACACAAACACTACCACCAGAAAAAATTAACCAGGGTTAAGAACCACTGGTCATTAATATCACTTACTATCAATGGACTCAATTCACCTATAAAAAGGCACAGGTTAAGAGAATTGATACAAAATCAGGATCCAACATTCTACTGTTTATAAGAAACACACCTTAAACTCAAAGATAGATACTACCTCAAGTAGTGATTGGAAAAGGTTTTCCAATCAAATGGACCAAAGAAACAAGCAAGTGTGGCTATATTAATATCTAACAAAATTGATTTCAAACTAAAATCAATCAGAAGAGAAGGAGATGGACACTTTATACTCATAACAGGAACAATTTATCAGAAGGAAGTCTCAGTCCTGAATATCTATGCCCCTAATATAAAAGCACCCACATATGTAAAAGAAACATTACTAGAACTCAGAGCATACATCAAACCCCACACTCTAATAGTAGGAGATTTCAACACTCCTCTCTCACCAATTAACAGGTCAACCAGACAGAAACTTAACAGAGAAATAAGAGAACTAACAGATGTAATGAATCAAATGGACTTAACAGACATCTATAGAACATTCCACCCAAGCAGAAAAGAATATACTTTCTTCTCAGCATCTCATGGAATCTTCTCAAAAATTGATCACAGAATTGGTAAAAAAGCAAACATCCATAGATACAAAGAAATTGTAGTAACCACCTGTGTACTATCAAATAACCATGGAATAAAGTTAGAATTCAACAATTGTAACCCCAGAAAGCCTACAAACTCATGGAAACTGAACAGTTAACTACTGAACCACGCCTGGGTAACGGAAGAAATAAAGAAAGAAATTAAAATCTTCCTTGAATTCGATGAAAATAAAGACACATCATACCCAAACCTATGGGACACATGAAAGCAGTGGTAAGAGGTTCATAGCACTAAGTGCTCACATAAAGGAAATGGAGAAAGCACACATTAGAGACTTAAGAGCACACCTGAAAGCTCTAGAAAAAAAAAGGAGCAGATTCACCAAGGAGGAGTAGAAGATTGGAAATAATCAAACTGAGGACTGAAATCAAACACAGAAACAATCCAAAAAATCAATGAAACAAAAAGCTGGTACCTGGATAAAATTAATAAGATTGACAAACTCCTATCCAAACTAATCAAACGGCCAAAAGAGAATACGCAAATTAACAAGATCAGAGATGAAAAGAGGGACATAACCACAGACATAGAAGAAATTAAGAGAATCATTAGATCTTACTACGAAAGTCTGTATGCCACAACATTGGAAAATGTGAAACAAATGGACACTTTAAAATAAGAACCATATACCAAAATTAAATCAAGACCAGGTGAACAGTTTAAATAGACCTGTAAGTCACGAGGAATTAGAAGCTGTCATCAGAAACCTCCCTACCAAAAAGAGCCCTGGACCAGATGGCTTCAATGCATAATTCTACCAGAACTTCCAAGAAGAGTTAATACCTATACTCCTTAATGTGTTTCACAAAATAGAAACAGAAGAGTCATTGCCAAACTCCTTTTATGAAGCTACAGTTATCCTGATACCAAAACCACATAAAGACACAACCAAGAAAGAGAATTACAGGCCAATCTCACTCATGAA